GGTTTTCGATGATGGTCCAACATTGATCGGTTTATGATCTCAATAACAATTCAACAACCTTTACAACCCTATACTGATAATTATCGTGTGCTCATCAGTGACTAGCTTCGAGAGGCAATTTGCGGAGTTCTAGTGAGAAACCGTGACCGGTGGAGTTCAACCGTGTTAGGTTTGAGGCATTTACCCACAGAAAACAACGATAGTCGTGCAATATCATAGGTTGGTTGAAGTTAGACATTAACACCGTTGGATGTCAGCTCAGTAGTCTGGAGGTTAAACGTTCGTGCGTGAGATTAAAGGTCCTGAGTTCAAGTCCCAAAATTTAGGATCAAGTGTGTGTACTCCTGAGGAGTCTCATTCCAAGATGAAAAACAGCTGTACAGTGCTTCCAGGTTTTCTATGCTGGTCTGGCTTAAACTGACTCGTGAATTCAACTGTTAAAATACCACAATCTCCACAAATTCCCACAATGATAATTCAAGAGAAATAATATCCAAATTTGCATTTCGTTTTCTCGCAAACCTAGTGGATAAATTTCTTCTAAGTAAATATTAAGAAAATTTATAAACTAGGAGAAGAATTTCATTAGTGATTTTGGTCGCTCGTAATAGTAGTGTATTTGTTTGTTTTTACTGTTAAATGAAATTACTCATATATTTTTGAGTATGTGAAATCCTCAAATCTAACATAGTTGAAAGGAAATCTATCTTAAAATCTGCATACTAATATATTAATCATTATTTGATCATCGAAACTTCAGTACAATTTCGTTTAGTCAGTATATAATTGATTTAACTTGATTGCAAATTAGATCTTTCAGGGTTTTACAACAACATCATCCTTACAACACTTCTTTCGAGAATATAAAGTTCTTCTGAATGTTCCATCCCTCTTTTTTTAAATGACTTATAAATCATTGATTTTCAAGTATTGTAGCATGTTAGTCATCGTATCTATCTAGTGTGTTAAGATTCAGCTTCGCGTTAGAAAAATCTTCAAATTATTTATAATCAGATAATATAGTACTCAATCTAAAAATGTAGCATAGTGATTATCGTTTGAAACTTGTTTGACTGAATAATGTCTATAACTAATGAATTGACAAGTAACTGAACAAGTTAAAAAAAATAATACTAAAAATATGATCATGGAGTTTTAAATAGATCCCCATCAATAACATCATCATTGTCAATAGAAGCAATATCATAATGCAAAAAGAGAAATGCGAAAAGGATATGAAAGAAGGAAAGTTCCAGAGGATTTATTTATTATCATTTTTTTGTTGTTGTTGGAAGAACCAGAATAGAATAAAGAAATAAAGGTGAGAATGAATATTATTTTTTTTCACCATCCAAATTAATGATACATAATTTATTTTAATTTATGTTTCAATAATAAGAACCAGATGTTTACATTTGTTTTGGCCCGAACAGCTGTTAAATCATGAAGGCTCATAATACCCAACTATAAATATCTGTATATATATATAATTATTATTATAAGACAATTTAAGTATTTATTCTTAATAAATATATGACGAATATGGGTTTTGTGTAGGAAAAAAGATGACATAGAAGAATGTAAAGTATTGGTTGATAGAGGGACAATGAGAGAGAGAGAGAGAGCAAGATAACGAGAGAAAAACCCCACTAATAGTGATAACAAAAAAAGCCAAAAAATTACATTGAACCGCCAAAATAAACTGTTTTTTCTCTATCACTCTTCTTCATCATGTTTGTCCGACGTTTACTGCTTCATGAATACTTTTCTCCCACTCGATACATACTCACACATACACGCATTTTCATTATTAGGGTCGTTATACTGTATTATTATATTTCAGTTAGCTGCTAATTAATAATAATATGAATATCATTCTCAAAACCTAGACAATGGACATTTCGATTGATACTTGAAAGTGTTTAGAAATAATTAAAAGGCAACAAATGTAATATAATTCAATGAGGAATTATATGTGACATATCATGCTGTATAGAAACGCAATAAAAATGAAATGAAAACATTGAATAAAGAATATTTGGTTACGTATACCATGGTTGTCTGTTGGTAGATTTATTTTCTCACGTTGGAAATTGAAAAAAAATGTTACTCATGGTAAGAATTAAAGGAAAATTACTTGTAACAATTTTTATACTATAGGTGAATACAAAATATTTAACTCATTATTTCTTAGATTCCCTCTCTATAAAGTGAGTTTAGATAACAATCAAATTCAGATTAGGCAGTCTCGAACTATTGACGTGATAATCTGTCAGGAAAGCTACATTCGACCTTATTTTTTATGTTGTTTCAGTTAGATATATCAATGAGAGACATTTATCCGTCTGTAACTAAACAATGTAGCTGACCATACCAAGTATCAATGGTAATGTCATTGGACTTTATATTAAATATTTTGAAGATAAAAGTACCATTGAATGATTATTCTCTTCATATTTTACAGAATTTGACTTTATATCAATTTTTACAAAGGAAAAACTATTGATAGTCCCAGTTTAAGATAAAACAGAACTCCAATAGCTCTTAGTTTTCACTAGTCCCACTCCCCTCATTTGGCTCAACCTTCAATGAAAAATAATTTCAAGTTGAACAAATTTATGTGACCTAAAAAATCCCTACTAAATATTAAATTCGAAATTATTTAAAATGAAGAAGTAATTTATCAAAAAGAACTATTGGGAAAAACCTCTTTCAAATAATTAGCTTTCATTACTATACCCAGTAAGTTTAAATCATAAGCAAATCTAGGCTAAACGAAATAAAGGAAATCTGGAAGCACTGAATGATAGTTTCATTTTGATATTTTATGTGAGTAAAATATCAAATAATAAAAGATGGTTATGCAATATCGTAGATTGATTGAAGTCGAACTGGTACACCATTGAATCCCGGCTAGTTCATGCGCGGTACCGGAGGTCTATAGTTCTATTTCTTGTGATGAGGTTGTGGATATATATTGTTGGGGTGTATCATACTAGAACGAAATGGCCATCTAGTGGTTCCAGGTTTTCAATGATTATTTAACTGATCGAATCATGAGTTCAATAAAATTCAATAATGTCTGAAACCCGACAATGAAATTCAATTTTTACTAAATTAAAATTAAAATTGTCATTAGAATATGGAATTAACGTGAATTATATTTATCTTGTGTACTTTATCTTAATTTTACAAAGCTGTTTTTTTTGTGTGATAATGTTCTTCCTCAAGGTATTAACACATTAAAACTAAGTGAGTATTTTTATAAATTGCTTTTTCATACACAAAAAATAACTCAATAAAATTAATACAGAAGGGGTTTTTACATTATTCGCTAAGTGATTAAAAATTCAACTCAGAATTGTTGAGATTCTAATCACAAATATAGTTTTATACCGAAATTAATTCTGGCATAATCTCGATGTAATATGTATGATTTCATTGACTAATATGTTGTCTAAAGGTATCCTGAAGAGAATGAAATACGATTGCCCGAAATTATCTACAGTAACATAAATATATTTGCAATGAAAATATACAAGATACTTCAAAAAAATATCATACTGGTAAGATGCGGCTAGCAAAATGTTTTAAATCAAAGTCTATTATAAAAATGTATTAGATAAAAAAATCTAAACTTTTACAAATAGGAATATTTATCTGAGTGTGTGTGTGTGTGTAAGTGTTCTTAGCCCAAAACATGGGAATACTCCTTGAACTCCTGTAATTAATTAGAAAACTCTACAAACCTGAATATAAACAACTGAAAACACTAGATAATCAACATGATTTTGATCAATACTTTAGGTTAGGCAACATAAAAATCTATCATTATTAGACAAACATCATACTGGACGAAAGGTCCATCCAGTACTTTCAGGTTTTCAGTGGTGATCTAACATTTATCAGTTCATGATGGCAACTGAAGCTCAACGATCTCCACAACCCTATACTGATAAATACCATACTGTAGCGAAGACAAGATATAAGTTCGAAATAATCCAAAGAAAAAAACCTAGCAGTCTAATTTGAACTAAATTAAAAATTAAAATTCACTATTGTAATAATCAAGAGTATTATGGTTAAATATAAAATAGAATCAAGAATAAACAAGTAATTGGTTTCTATTAGGAGAGGGTTTGGTGGAGACTGTAATAATTTGATAGTCGAATTCACGAGTCAATTAAAGCCTTGACCAGTGGAGTCCAACCGGGTCTGTTGTGAGATAGTAACTCACTGAAGACAATCGAGAATGGTGGCACGATTTCGTGGATTGCTCGAATTTAGACACTAACACCATTGGATGCCGACTCAATGGTCTAGAGGTTTAGCATTCGTGCGTGAGATCAAAGGTTCTGGTTTCAAATCCTGAGAGGCGGGATCGTGGGTGCGCACTGCTGAGGAGTCCTATGATAAGACGAAACAACCATCCGGTATTTTCAGGTTTTACATGGTGGTTTAGCCTTCAATGACTCATGAATTCAACTATTAAATAATTGGTTTGATGATATAACTTCAAATTAGAGAGATTACCAACAAAATGATTACCGAAATCCATACGAATTCTTTTTACACTTAAAATAATTATATTTATAAATTATATTTATTTTTAAAAAGAAGAAACATGGATCCAATGTAATTATTTTAGACATGAAAAGAATCATATCAATTCTCAATGAGTTTTAGGTAAACAATTTACGAACGAAATAAAAATTTATATTTCATACTATACTCATATAAAATGAACTGTGATAACTTTTAAGAATTAAACAAATAAAGGTAATCATTTATTTTCTAGCGAACATGATTTCCTTATTTTCATGAACTCATGGATTTCTGTATGGTTGTAAATAGATTTTGCTGATAAAGTATAAAAATTATGAAATGTAAGTGACTAAACACTTACCAATTGTCCGTAGATTGACGACAATAACTTTCATCTTTTTATAACATTCAAATTTATTGAAGAAATTAATTGATTTAAAACTATTCAATTGTGAATGTTAATCATCATCATCATCATCATCATCATCATCATCATCATCATCATCATCATCATCATCATCATCATCATCATCATCATCATCATCATCATCATCACCATATCATCATCATCATCATCATCATCATCATCATCATCATCATCATCATCATCATCATCATCATCATCATCATCATCATCATCATCATCATCATCATCATCATCATCATCATCATCATCATCATCATCATCATCATCATCATCATCATCATCATCATCATCATCATCATCATCATCATCATCATCATCATCATCATCATCATCATCATCATCATCATCATCATCATCATCATCATCATCATCATCATCATCATCATCATCATCATCATCATCATCATCATCATCATCATCATCATCATCATCATCATCATCATCATCATCATCATCATCATCATCATCATCATCATCATCATCATCATCATCATCATCATCATCATCATCATCATCATCATCATCATCATCATCATCATCATCATCATCATCATCATCATCATCATCATCATCATCATCATCATCATCATCATCATCATCATCATCATCATCATCATCATCATCATCATCATCATCATCATCATCATCATCATCATCATCATCATCATCATCATCATCATCATCATCATCATCATCATCATCATTATCGATTCAAAGGAAAGTAATTTCATGATGATCACTTCATAGGTAGATAGCTCTACCTGAATAAGATGTATTTATGGAAAATTATAATTCAGACAATCCAAAAAAATTCTACTAAAAAACAATACAATTTCGATCACAGTGAGAATTTCTCAACAGAATATAACAGCGAGTATTTGAAATGTGTGACAACCTAGTTTTTATAACGGTGATTAGATACAATTTATCTTTAAATGCAGTTGTCTTTTTTAATCGGATTATATAACAGACTATTAGTATTGGAAATTTTATGCATCAATCTCATTGCAATTGGACTTCCTTTTTTTCCAATGAGTAAGAATAGTGAAATTATAAGAACTACTTCAGTATCTTAGCTTTAGTTATTTACAGCGTTTAGTTGAATAATAAGGTTAGTCGTTAAAACTAATTCGTCAGGATATGTTTCGATCAAAAGAAAATATTATCACAATATCCGTACAACTCATTAACTAGACCACCATTAATGCAACATCATCAAGTTGCCACATGAAAGGAGTAGACGATTTAATATGGTAGAATAAAATATCTTTTGAAAGGATAAACTAATTTAATGGATTTTTCATTTCTTTTTAATTGAATAAAAAAATAATAATTAGTATCATTCAAAAGTGTTTTGCCAGAAAATGTATTCACTTCATTGTCAACAAGAATTATACATCGAATGTTATAAAAAAAAATGACATTGACATATTTTTTTAAAAAAATTGGGGGAAATATTTGTAATTTACATGTTGTAACAATAAATCTCCTCATCAATATACTGATAGTTGTAAAGTATACATGCATATACAATCAATACATAATAGTGGATACGATGAGATTTTAAGTAGGAAGGCTTTTTTAAAACAAAAAGCAGTGACATATTTAAACTGAAAACATTACCACATCAGTGTGATTTTCTTTGTGTTAAACTAGTATATATTTGACAGATCCCTCACACATACACACACACACACTATCGATTTATCTCTTTCGCTTCATGAACACATTCAACATAACACAGACAATGATTTTTAACTTAATTAATAAGTTTTTCTGTTACATTCTCATTATCTCAGTCAGGATCCTTTTTTTAATGATTACTATTACTGGCACATGTTTGTACTTTCTTAAGATACATAAGACACATTTTAGAAGATGTACTAACAAGTGTATAAGACATTACTACTACTAACATCATTATTATTATTATATGAAATATTCCCTTTATGTTGAATGATACTATTTTGACGATGATGATGATGATTCTTTGATGATTATAATCACTATTATCGTCATAAATATGTTTATTATAAAAAGTAATCTGTATACAAAATTGTAATTACACACTAAATACACAAACACATACACACGTATGTGTGACAGAATTTTATGACAGTTTCTTTTCTGTTCCCTCATTCAACGGATTTCATCTTAAAAAGAAAGAAAAAAGTTTTAAAGACAAATAAATATGACAATTATATATATATATATATATATATATATATATTCGATGGCGAAGTAAATTTCATATAAAGTCTACATATGCATTAATGGATTTTACAGTTGTATTATTTTAATGACATCACTGAATGACACGTGCATAAATCTAATCTACGCATTGATGGTGACCTCCTAACATACACATATATGTGTGCATACATTGAAATGAATATGTACATATTATGAACCAAGTGTGTTTTATGTTATGATACTTTGATTTGATGAGATCAAATATTTTATTCCTAATACCATAAAACAAACCAGGTTATATATATATATATATATATATATATTATATATATATATATATATATATATATATATATATATATATATATATATATATATATACAGACCAAATCTTTACTAAGTATATAGATAGGTAATGTCATTCATTAGACAGTAATAAGAACTTTCATTTACCCTAACTTTAAGTGTAGATATGTATATTTCTTGTGAAGTAGATAAACATCTGGTTTATTTATTTACTTACTTACTTACTAGCTATGACAAATTTCATATGAAAACAAATATTTATTTTATGAATGTTTATATTTTCGATTTAAAGTGTAGATTACATCTTGGAAAGGTTTAATTTCATATTTTATGTAACTCAGTTTTATGGTTACAAAATTTTCTTACAAATTACTATTTGATAGTAATGTCGTGCGTGCTACTTATATTGATATAAGTAGTATATGACGTGAGTCAGGAATGTAATGTCTGGCAGCAGAATATAGGGGAAGATCAAGAAAGAAAGAGTGGGAATAGAATGCAATATGTATGGAAATGCAAGAACAATGAAGTCTGAGGCATTTTGAGACAATTGGTAGACATTTTGAAAATTAAAGATTTAATATATAGTTCTCCGATCTTATTGAGATGCTCTGTAATTTTGTGTTAAATACATTCGACTGTCCCCACCCGTGTTCTGTTCACTACAGTGATTGTCTAAACAGGTTATTAAATCTGTTTAAAGGTAGGATGAAATTACTAAGAATTGTTCTTCTGAAGGAAACTAGAACAATCAAGGACATCTTGCAGTTTCATTGTTAATATATATTCTGATTGTAATTAGTAATTGAATAGTTTTTCTCAGCTGATCGATGAATGTGATTTATATTAATATCTGTAAGATTCAACAACTTGTTTTATATTTAAATAAGAAAATGTGGTTGGAGAGTTTGTGTTGTTAAGTTCAGTTTGTTGCATTAACTCAGTACTTTGAGAATGGGGTTTAAACTCAAATCTAATTATTAGATGGATGTAATAAATTGCGGTAACAGTCATCTAAAAGTTATTAGGTCTAATTCTGTTGCAATATGGATTCTGTTTCTACTGTAATAATCATTTGCTAATAAATGCTATTTCAGCTAGGAATGTTAATAATAATTATTGATATGAATAATATTACTGTAATTTTTAATCATTGCTTTGATAGTTACATTGTGGTGAATGCTACTTTGACAAATATAAGTAGTATGTAGCACCAACCGGAAGTAGAATATATACTCAGTCTTAAATAGTTGCTCATTGTCATCATTGAGTTGATGTTCTAATTTCAACTTGGTGAATTTAACAGGTCATAGTTTCCTACTAAAACTAACTCGTAGAGGTATTCAACGATAATAACATGATCATGATTTATATTGGTGGTTTGTGAAGAATTTGCATAATTTGGTTTTTTACTTTTATCATAAGCTGATTCTAATTAGATTGTAGAGAAAATCATAAACGGATTGGATAACCAGTTCTTTGAATAACGTAGAACTTCGTACGTACGTACATCAGTTCGAGTTGCCATACCACATTAGTACAGAGATACAATTTTCGATTCAAATACAAACTACAACTTGAAATAATATTCAGAATTTTCTGATTGTATGGTGATCACCATTAGATTTTCTACAAAATCACTTAAAAATGTATCAGCTAACTTGAATGGAAAAAAAGTTTCTTAATGTGATAATTATTTGGGAAAATATATAGAATGTTCTAACCTTGTTATTCTATAACAAGTATTGGTTAGTTTACTTAAATAATAAGTGAAAAATAATAATGATAATAGTCAGTATAGAAATGTAGAAACTGTTGAATTTCATTTAAATCATGAAACCGATTAATGTTAGAACACCATCGAAAACTTGAGAGCGTTGAATGGCTGTTTTTTCCCAGTGTGGGACTTTTCACTAGTGGATCACCACGTACGGGGTCGTAAAGAACAGTTATCATTTGCTCACCAGTGACTAGTTTCGAGAGGTAATTTTCGGAGTTCTAGTGAGAAACAGTGAGCAGTGGAATTCAACTGTGTTGGATGTGGGGCGGTAACCTACCAAAGACAATGGAAGCTGGTCGCTGAATATCGTAGAGTGATTAGAGTCATACATTAAGACCGATGGATTCCGGCTCAGTGGTCTAGAGATTAGGTGTTTGTGTACGGCACTAAAGGTCCTAGGTTCAATTCTTATGTGAAGGATCGTGAATGGGTACCGCTAAGGAGTTACATACTAAAACAAAACGACCATCCAGTGCTTTTAGGTTTTCAATGGTGGTTTAACTTATATCTGTTTCATGATTTTAATGAGATAGTACTGATAGTAATAGTGATAATAGCTTTATTTATCACCGCAAATTTTATTGCAGTAAGGAGTTAGAAGTATTGCTTGTGTAATATTGCAAGAACTTTCTCTTCAACATACTTTCAAATCGTAACTATTCAAAAATAAATGTATTTTTAGTAACAAGTATCTTCCGTTTATCGTCAGTGGTAAAGGCTTATTACCGGTTCTGGTTCAACAACCAACTTTTTTATCCACCAAATTTTGATCGTATAAATTAACTCGTTATTCAAGCGGTAGACAAGGAAGAGAAGTACAGTATTCCGGTTTAAAGTTTACATTAGTTAACATCACGATCGATTGTAAGGCGTTCATAATGCAGCGTGTACTCACGCTGTAAAGATCGATAATTATTAGGTCCCAATCAATTTAAAACATGAAGGTTTATTATAACACTTTCATAATTTGAAAAAAGAATGACCTAAGCGTTTGAATAGTTCACTGTTGTTTGAATAAAAATATCTATTGGTCCACTTGTTTTCTTGATCAGTTATAGATTAATATTTTCATGTTATGATTGATAGATTAGATAAATAATGAAGAAACTTACAAATTTTTACTACAAAACTTTTTTCTTCCCTATTCGCCCTCCATCAATTTTGTGTATCAGAGCTATGATCTACTTTTTTGCTGTTTATGATAGGTATGAATGATTTTTAATTAGATCTTTTGAAATTCAATATGTAACTAATAGTTCAGTGTAAATGAATAGATCAATTTATATAGACTCATATTGATGTGAAACATGATCATACACTATACAACTTTTATAAAGTTAATATAAATCTCACATGGACATTTTGCAATTCATTTAATCTGTTCTGTAGATTATGGTACAGTAACTTGTTAATTGACAAGAAATAGGTGGTCTGAGAAAAATATAGTTGAGATT